TAATTTGTTATAACAAATTGATAATTTGTTATAACAAATTACTAATTTGTTATAACAAATTACTAATTTGTTATAACAGATTATTAATTTGTTATAACAAAATAGTAATTTGATAAAACAAATTACTATTTTTGACAAAATTTGAAATTTATACAATCTACGAAAGCCAGATCAAATCAAAAATCCAAGTTTATATGGGATTTATGAAAATAATTTGCAAATGTCAAAGTTTTTGGCAAAAATAAGGCTTTAGTGGGACTATTGAGAGCTTTTCCAACAAGCTCTTTTTTTTATTATTATTATAAAAATTACATGCATACAGAAGAATTGAAAGACACATTAGGAATTTAATATCAAATTTCACCAAGAGATACCCACTCAAGAATATTGTGGGTTTTATTTTTTCTTTAGTTTTCCGGGGAAGGTTGTTACGGAATGTATTTTTTCTTGATAATTTATCCGCAAATTCATTTGGTCAATGGTGCCTCTGTTGCTCACAGCTTTATAGGAAACCATGGAGGTTCACCACGGGAGCAGATCCAGGATTTTGCATATATAGAATTGGGTTTGGTTTAAAGATTTTATTCTTTACTCATGAATTGGGTTGAACAGTAGACATAAATGCCTGTCGAAAAGCAATATTCAAAGTAGATCATATCACATGTAAAAAAGAATCCAGAGAGAGAGAGAGAGAGAGAGAGAGAGAGAGAGGGGGGGTGAAAATGAACAAAATCAAAACACAAACTAGAGATACTGTGAGCAATGAGCTCACTAAATGATACCCCCCCCCCCCCCCCCCCGCCTCCCATATGCTTATCAAGACAAAGTCCATGTTTAGCTGTGGCCGGGAAACCCAAAATATGTGTCGGATCAAAAAGTAAAATAGGAGGTGCACAATGGCAATATGTTATGTAATAAAGATTCTGTGAAAGTTTCATTGAATTTCACTTCGTGGTATAAGAGGAGTTGCGGATAAGCGATGGGTACTCCAAAGCGTAACAGACGGACGGACGGACATACCGATTACAGTTTACCCTCCCACTTTTCAAGCGGGGGGGATATAATAAAACAATTTATATTGTAACATTCTTTTGCATGGCTCAAATAAGATAATATTTTTCCTAGCATACGAATTGGGTGATATGACTGTGCAGAGTCGGAAAGGGGGGGGGGGGGAGGGCACGTATGAACAAACTTTCATTAAAGCTTCTAAGAACAAGCTATAAGGAATAGAATCTAGGACATTGATGCAATTCATCATGACATTGATGTTTGAAGTGAAAACTCTGAGATGCTAGAAGAAACATATAGGTCAACTTTGCAGACTGTATGCTTATTGTTTCACAAATTCAATATTTCAATGATTTCTAATCTGATATAGATTCCATAGTTCTGTGTACATGTCAAATATCCAAAAATAGTAATTTGTTATGACAAATTAGTAATTTGTTATAACAAATAAATAATTTGTTTAAACAAATTAATAATTTGTTATAACAAATTATCAATTTGTTTAAACAAATTATTAATTTGTTATAACAGATTATTAATTTGTTATAACAGATTATCAATTTGTTATAACAAATTATCAATTTGCTATAACAAATTAGTAATTTGTTATAACAAATTATCAATTTGTTATAACAAATTATCAATTTGTTTTCACAAATTAGTAATTTGTTATAACAAATTAGTAATTTGTTATAACAAATTATCAATTTGTTTAAACAAATTAGTAATTTGTTATAAAAAATTATCAATTTGTTTAAACAAATTAGTAATTTGTTATAACAAATTATCAATTTGTTTAAACAAATTATCAATTTGTTTAAACAAATTATCAAGTTGTTATAACAAATTAGTAATTTGTTATAACAAATTATCAATTTGTTTAAACAAATAATAATTTGTTATAACAAATTATCAAGTTGTTTTAACAAATTATCAATTTGTTATAACAAATTATTAATTTGTTATAACAAATTAGTAATTTGTTATAACAAATTAATAATTTGTTTAAACAAATTAATAATTTGTTATAACAAATTAAAAAAAATACTGCTGCGGCCCTAATACGCTTCCGTACCTTTCCACCAAATGTGTTGCATATGCTGTTATTTATTTGGTGACACGCCAACGCAGACTAGACTTTGATTGTCGAAATGATTTCAACATTGATAATTAAAGGATGGGAAATACTTTTCTAAGAAGGAAAGAGAGGAAAAATTGACTCTGATGTGGGATTTCTTACTCTAAAGTGAAGGGGCCCAATTTATAAAAGGACTTACGACTTAAACCAAATTTAATTCTTCATATAACTTTTTAACTAATATTTATGGCACGCCAAATTCACAAAAATGAGCTAATCATAGTTTCACAGTCGATAAACTAGGTTTATCGGTTGTAAACTATAGTTTACGGACTGTAAACTATAGTTAACAACGTTAATCTATATTTTACATCTGTAAACCATAGTTAACGCGATAATCTATGTTTCACAACCGTAAACTATACTTAACACCGAAAACGATCATTTGCGATTGCAAAACATAGATTAACTGATAAATACAGTTTCACGATTTGTAAACTATAGTTTACAAACCACTAACTATAGTTAACGATCTGATAAATATAGTTTCACGATTTTGAAACTATGATTAACAACTCTTAACTATAGTTTACGATTGTAAACTATAGTTTACAAACGTGAATCTATGTTTATCAATAAAATCTATTGTTAACGCTTTATTCAGACAGATAAACTTAGATTAACATTCGTAAACTATAGTTAACGACCGTTTACAGATGAAAACTATACTTAACGAATCGTTAACTATTCTTAACGAATCGTTAACTATAGTTTACGGTTTGTAAACTATAGTTTACAGTCGATAAACCTAGTTTATCAATTGTGAAACTAGGTTTATCTCATTTTTGTGAATTTGGCGTGCCATAAATATTATATCGAAAATTATTTTCAACTTTTTTAAAGGAACGTGATAAGATATTTTTACACAAACAATTTCAAAGATAATTATTAATTTTGCAAACTTTTACAATAACTACAAGTTTTGGTCTAAGTCGTAAGTTCTTTTGTAAAACGGCCCCCAGATTCCGGGACAAAGCTGACCATGGGGAATTTATTCTCTTTGCAGAAGTGGACAAGCTTTCGCCTACATCCAGGCGAAAGCCTGTCCACTTCTCTAAAGAAAATAGAGGAAATTCTACATTACAACACCGGTAGAGTACTATTTCTGACAGGCCTAAGAACACAGGAGAGGGAAGGAACTTTATCAATATGCTCAATGCAGCGGTTATCTACTGCTCGTTTTCTAATTTGGGTCAAGGCCTCTGAAATACTGACTGACTGGTGTCATGGCTCTTTGATGTCATGGTATTTTTAATAAACCATTAATTGTCAAAGAACACCTCCTTATTCTGTTATTCTCTCTCTCTGTCTCCTCTCTTTTTCATTGGATTACGATAACAACTAATATCTTTTTTTAATCGACCATAGTGGGACCCAGGATTTAACTAGTACGAAATGTCCTAGAACGAACTATTATGTATCTTATAACCGGATGTAAACAGTCGAGATTGTTGCTCATTAATTTGATTAAATAATTTTTGATTAACTTCATAATTTGCCTTGACATTTCATTGTTCATGACATGTGATAAATGGCGTATTTGAGACTGGAATTAATAATTTTTGTCTTAACTGTGAATGTGGTATATGCATACGTACCGCCAAAATGTAAGTACAAATTATTTAGATATTGGCTGTAGGCCTACTAGCTGTCTAGAATACAATTACTCTGTCTTTGGACAAACCCCTCATCATGACCGGCTACGTAGGGTAAATATAATTTCATCCTTTCGAACCCCCAAAGCAGAGTAAACGTAAGATAGAGAACCACCAGCCCAACCCCATGACCCCCCCCCCAAAAAAAATATACAAGCATGTGCAAAATATTAATTTGTTGCAAAATAAAGTAAAATAGTAAAGTAAATGCTGTTACATATGTATTCCCACTCAAAAAGGAAAAAGGGGTGCGGATTCAGAGGGAGTGGTCCAAAATCTCGGACGTTTTCCTGTCTTTTATTAAGCCTGGAAAACGTCAAATATTTCAATATCTGATGTTTTCCTTTTTGCGATTTTGATATTTCAAAATCGCGAAAGCCTGGAAAACGTGAGAGTACAGAGGGACTGAGGAGCCAAAGGGGACACTTGAAGAAGAGGAGGCGGGCCATCCGGAGTTAAGACGTAAAAATTTTACTAGGCCCTATTGCAAAAATTCAAAAGCTTCTTGAGATATAGCCCAGTAATGAAAATTTTACATACAGACGAATTAATTTACGACCTTATTAGGAAATAAACAAAATAAATCAATAACCTGTCTAAATATGCTCAGTGTGTGCATCTCCCCATAGTATGTGCCTTTTTTAATTTATAGCATGATCATAAGAATGACATTTGAACTCAATGTAAACGTAAACAGTGTTTTTCCTTTCTTTCTTTCTTTCTTTCCTTTTTTTTTTTTTTTTTTTTTTTTTTGAAACATCGTACTCCTTTCTGAACACGATACAGACTATCTAACTTGACTGATGAAATCCTATGGGCGGAAACAAATAACAATTCCTCTGATACAATACAAGTAAACTTTTTTACAACTCAAAAATATGATTATAGAATACAAAAAATGTCTTAAACTTCAAATTTGAAAATTAGTAAATACAAATGTAAAATTATACAAATAAGAATTATATTATACAAATTGAAAATAATACAGTAAAAGATCAAATACATCGTCGGTGATCTCGTTTTTACTTATCACTTATGGAAGATGAGATCACCCGTGGGTTTCCGACGATGGATCAAATATTGCAACGCTTGAAATGCCCTAAAAGAACTTTCCACTAATTATGTTCATGTACAATATTGTCTGGCCCGATAAGGTAACAAATGAAGAACTGCTGAGCAGATGCAAACAAGAGGACATGGGTACCATCATAACCAAGCGCCGATGGAGGTGGATTGGACGTGTTCTCAGAAAAGACCCCCAGTCAACAACTAGAACAGCACTGCATTGGACACCAGAGGGCAAAAGAAAGAGGGGGAGGCCTAGAACATCATGGCGAAGGACAGTAGAAGGCGAGATGAAGGCAATGCACCAGACCTGGGGATCGTTGACAAGGCTAGCCCAGGACAGGCAAGGGTGGAGGAATTTTGTTGCTGCCCTACACACCACAGGGTGTAAAGGAAGATGATGATGATGATGATGATGACAATATTGTCTGCATATTTATACAGTTAAATAAATAAAACATGGTATAAGAGTGCTTTTAAGAAGTGATTTAACAAATAAACATAAAGTTTAGTGAAAATATACACGTGCATGCTGTAAGTAAAAAGAAACAAAAATGAATTTTAAGGAAAACATGTATTGGCTAAAAAATATAAGCACATAAAAGTGAAATATTGTAGCTATAGAAAACATTCTAGAGCTGCTTATAAAGTGAGAAAGCAGTTACTAGCACATACCATATTATAGATAATGATCTGTACCTAAGCTAGGGTCACAGAATAATAGAAACACATAACTGACAAACATATTGAAACATATTGAACAGTCAAAACCTAAAAAGGACAGAATGTAGTGTTTTACACATGTATATGTCTTGGTTATACCATACGTATTTGTATGTATAATATAGCGATGTTCCTAAACCCTGGCAGACTGAGAAAAGCACATTGATCAAATGATGGATTTTTACAATGTAAAATGAAAATTCTTTGACACTACTACTGTATGTATGAAATAAAATGATAGTCTGTATAGCAGTCAATATTTTGTATTTTTTCTACTGAAACTGAGAAATGTTCGTGCTATAAATTTGAAGTGCAATAGGGAAATGCATACAACTGGCATATTTAGACTTGGGATATGGATTTTGTTTTCCAGTTTTAGTTCCGAAAAATAGAGAATGGCCGAATTGAAATATCTAATATAAGAGAGCAGTGTTACAATGCAATTTGAAAAAAAAAAATCAAAGTGCGTTAAATTTGGGACCAAGTTAATGTACTTTTAATGCATAAATATCGAACAAATTTATGCACTTTTTATATATGATCTCTCTATGTTTAGGGGCAAGTACGAGAAATGTTTGCTAATTGAAAATAACTTTTCAACACAAAATAATAGTCTTTTTATAGTTAGGGGTACATACGAGAAATTCGACAAAATGTATGCTTATTGGAAATAACTTTTCAACACAATATGACTGTCTTTTTATAGTTATTTAATAAATGTATATGTATATAGAAGTATAAAAATTGTTTATTTTCGTGCAAGATGATGGCCTTTCTTTAGTTATTTTAGGAGATTATTATTAAAATGTATGAAAAATATGATTTATACACTGTACATTGTTTTTAGCCATTTTGTAAAACTACTTTGGCCAAAATATAGTCCATTGGCCAAAAAAAAATATACCCCACTATACATTATAAGAGCCTCTCTTATAATGTATAGTGGGGTATTTTTTTTTGTGGAGCGATTTTTTGGGGGTTTTGACGATTTTTTCATATTGTACACATCATGAATATGTGTAATAATTATAATCTGTGAAAAAAAATGTCCAATAAGCCCCGGGGTTGAATATCAAGGGGGGGGGGGCTGTCCACAAGTACCTGTGATTTAGATAATATATTTTACTTGAGAAAAGACATTAATAGTATTCTAATAACCAATTTTTATGATAAACGTGATGACTTAAAAATCGTTACATTCCCTTACCTATGCAGCAATATACCTTCATCACCTGCATTAGCTGCAAATCTGTAGCTCTCCAAAAAAATAATTTGACAGACTCGTCTATCAATATATTTTTCGGAGAGCTACAGTCCTGCAGCTACACCTGCATAAGGGGATGATTCGATATGAGCAGGCTCTACGAATTTCTTAAACGAGAAAAAATATTAACAAACAAGTTACCGAAAAAAGAATTTCAGCAGTCTCGTTGAAAGTCACCATTTCGTAAGTAATATGGTCGATACAATGGCCTTGTCAGCAAATACAATTTATCATTAAGTCAAATGCTGACTGACGTTTTTCATAGTTATTGTTAGGCCAGTATAATATACACACTGAATTGTCTACGGGTTTTATCCGTTATTTCCCGATCATGACAAGTGTTACAATAAAGTTTTAGAATTCAGAGAACTATAGTTAGTTTTATAATATTTCCATTTCTAATTTTTCTCTCTGTGATAACCCTTTGAAAGTTAGCGGAGTTAATTTCTTGATAATTCTACCGGAATGTAAATTAGGCAAGTCAATAGGTCAGGAGCTAAGGAGGCCTAATATGCATACAAATCTCGTGCGCATCTGTCTCTGAGTCTGACGTTAAGGAGGCCAACTATGCATGTAAATCTCGTGCGGCTGTCGTTGTGTTTGACGTCAGTGGGCGAGGACTATTGAAATTGGGATGGGAATCCTCGTGTAATTTATATATATGTCTGCATTTTTAAAGTCTAAATCTACAATTTCATTTCACAATGAAATGGAAATATATGGAATCACTGTCTAGTTAGTATAGTATGCCAGGGACATCAACAATAGTGGGAAACATGGGATAATTTATGCATAACGGGCTTCGCCCGTTATGCAAATTATCCCATGTTTCCCACCATTGTTGATGCCCTGGCATACTATACAAACTAGACAGTGATTCCTTAATTCTATGAATTCTAAAACTTAAGCGAGTGTGACCGGTCGGCAGAGGATGCTCACTCCTCCATTGCACCTGATTCCACCTTTAATGTTATCGAGGTCCGTTTTTGCTCTGCTCCAATTTTGTATTGTTTAATGGACTTTTGAGCTCGAATACTGCTCGTTATCTCCATATATTTCATTTAGAATACTTTAAGTATCATGTTTCTAATGCTGTTATTCGCCCGTGTGGCGCAGTGGTTAGAGTGTCTGCTCTAGAGTCGCGAAGTAAGGAGTCAATCCTTCGGATGAGACTGTATAAACCGAGGTTCCCTGTTGCAGTAGGTGCTGGCACAAAAAAGATCCCTCCCTGCTCGATGGCCCTGTAGTGTCCAGTATAGGACAAAATTTGCAGCTCTCCACCGGCAAGTGGTGGCGTCTCCATATGAGTGAATAATTCTCCAGAGGAACGTTAAACAATTTACAATCAATCAATCAATCTAATGGTGTTAGATAAAACAATTTACTGTAATTTATTATTTACAACTTACTTTTTTGTAAAATACAGTTTACTTGGATGCAATATGTGGGGAAATACTCACAATCAGCGGGCTACCCTCCATTCGCCTTGACCTGACCCAGGACAGCAAGTATAGAAATAACATGGACTGTACCGTCACTGTGAGCAATGCCCCTGCCTCTACCAGCACCACCAACCATAATAGAATCATGATTGTTGTCAGGAAGTTGAATATCAAGGGTTCCGTCTATTATGGCTGTGATCCAGGTTACGATCAATTGTACATTTATGATGGACCTTCTACCTCATCATATAAAGTACCAGGTATGAGGGACCTTAGGAGGAATGTGTTGTGTTCATCTTGATTTGCATAAGAAATTAAAAACGTAGTTATAGACTCAATTAATATTTAAGAATTTCTACCTTTTTATAGGCCTGGATAAAAGCGTCTGTGGGGAGGACGAGCCTTTAGGGGCATACATGTCCAGTGGGGATACATTGACATTTAGATTTGTATCCAACTCACTGAGTGTTGACGCTGGCTTCAAACTCCTTTTAACGCCCTTCCATACAGGTAAGTTTCTGTAAGTCAAGTAAGGGCATCATAAAATGTGTTGCAGTGATGGGAATATTATAACATAGCATGCCCATTTCAAATTTCTAAATGCAATCTTGATACTAAAATCACAAATTGATTCAAAGTTAAAATATAGACGAAGTATCCTTGGCTGTACTAATTTTTCGGGGGGATCTATACTCACTGGAATCGATGACCATCGTCTCTGGTTCTCAATCATCATCTTTATTTTTAGCTCTACTGGTCAGAGACCAGAAGAGCTTATGCGATAGTAATTCGTCCGGCGTCCGTCCGTCCGTCTGTCCGTCTGTCTGTAAACAATTTTTCAAAATGCTACTCCTCCTACAGTTTTGATCTGATTTCAATATAACTTGGCATATAAGTAGACTACACTAAGAGACATAATTGTGTTTATCGGTTTTTGATTTTGACGAACGGTGTTGGCGTTGTTACTAAAAATAGAAATTTCTTTGAAATTCTTTCAAAATGCTACTCCTCCTACAGTTTTGGTCTAATTTCAATATAACTTGGCACACATGTAGACTACCCTAAGATACATAATTCTATATATCGGTTTTTGATTTCGAGGAACGTTGTTGGCGTTATTACTAAAAATAGAAATTTCTATGAAATTCTTTCAAAATGCTACTCCTCCTACAGTTTTGGTCTGATTTCAATATAACTTGGCACATAAGTAGACTACACTAAGATACATAATTCTGTGTATCGGTTTTTGATTTCGACGAACGGTGTAGCGTTGTTACTAAATATAGAAATTTCTGTGAAACTTGGCTCATAAGTAGACTACACTAAGATACATAATTCTGTGTATCGGTTTTTGATTTCGACGAACGGTGTAGCGTTGTTACTAAATATAGAAATTTCTGTGAAATTGTTTCAAAATGCTTCTCCTCCTACAGTTTTGGTCTGATTTCAATATAGCTTGGCACACAAGTAGACTACACTAAGATACATAATTCTGTGTATCGGTTTTTGATTTCGACGAACGGTGTTGGCGTTGTTACTAAAAATAGAAAATTCTGTGAAATTCTTTCAAAATGCTACTCCTCCTACAGTTTTGGTATGATTTCAATATATTTGGCATATATGTAGACTACACTAATATATATAATTCTGTGTATCGGTTTTTGATTTCGAGGAACGTTGTTGGCGTTGTTACTAAAAATAGAAATTTCTATGAAATTCTTTCAAAATGCTACTCCTCCTACAGTTTTGATCTGATTTCAATATAACTTGGCACATAAGTAGACTACACTAAGATACATAATTCTGTGTATCGGTTTTTGATTTCGACGAACGGTGTAGCGTTGTTACTAAATATAGAAATTTCTGTGAAATTCTTTCAAAATTCTTCTCCTCCTACAGTTTTGGTCTGATTTCAATATAACTTGGCACAAAAGTAGACTACACTTAGATACATAATTCTGTGTAACAGTTTTTGATTTCGACGAACGGTGTTGGCGTTGTTACTAAAAATAGAAAATTCTGTGAAATTCTTTCAAAATGCTACTCCTCCTACAGTTTTGGTATGATTTCAATATAACTTGGCATATATGTAGACTACACTAAGAGACATAATTGTGTGTATCGGTTTTTGATTTCGACGAACGGTGTTGGCGTTGTTACTAAAAATAGAAATTTCTGTAAAATTCTTTCAAAATGCTACTCCTCCTACAGTTTTGGTCTTATTTCAATATAACTTTGTATATAAGTAGACTACACTAAAATACATGATTCTGTATATCGGTATTTGATTTCGACGAATGGTGTTAGCATTGTTACTAAAAATAGAAATTTCTGTGAAATTCTTTCAAAATGCTACTCCTCCTACAGTTTTGGTATGATTTCAATATAACTTGGCACACAAGTAGACTTCACTAAGGTACATAATTCTTTTTATCCGTTTTTGACTTCAATGAACATTATTACCTTGGTTAATAAAGATAGCAATTTCTGTTACTCTCAAAATGCTACTTCAAATACAGTTTTAGTCTGATTATATAATGTGGCATGCAAGTAGACTACACTAAGAACATAAAGAGACTTATTCAAGGATCATTATTCTCTTTTTAACTAGTGTAAAGTTTCAATTCCCAACTGCTTAAGTACTTTCCTCTTCCTTTGCTATAAGTACAAACCAGTAGAGCTTCAGTCTCGACAGAGACTTCTGGTTATTACCGGTAGACCTGTGAGCTACAGTTCTGCTGCTGAGGTTTTCGTGTAAAAGAATCAAATTTAGCAGTAATACATTCGAGAAACGGATAATAATGAATTTATATAAATTGTATTTTAGAAGAACTTGGATTTAATTCTACAAGTGGTATTCCATTAAGCTATATCATAGTTATACTCATTGTTCCCTTTCAAAGGAAAAAATTCATCAAAATCATGTCAGTTTTGAATATTTTTAATATCCGAAAGAACCAAAATGAATCTGAATTACCATATACACTGTATATGTATTGGATTCCGAAACTTCATAAGAATCCCCACAAACAAAGACACAAAGCGGATTCCAGTAAATGTTCAATCAAGCCTCTTTCTTTACTCCTCTCTAAGATATTAACAGTAGTGAAGGAGAAACTTCAAGAGTACTGCGCAACAATATATTTAAGAAGTGGTGTAAATCAGATGTGGATACTTAAAAATTCCAAGGAACTTTAAATTGGACAATTTCAAATCACAAGATTTCACCAAAATCAACAGCTTAAAAACTTACAACTTTTCAACTTTATATACATAACCATTCCCCACAGTAATTAAAGTCCAGGCTTTTTTATATCATTGACAGCTGCTTTTTCAATAAAAATGGAACTCGTAAATTTACGTACCTTGTCATTTGTCATTTGCAAAATTATTTTGTTAAAAACATTCTGATTGTACACACAAGTACTCTGAAAGTGACATCAAAAAGATGCTTGAGTGTCTGATTGACAATATCTATGTCGTTTTTTTGGAGACCAGGTTTTCCAACAATCTATTGGAAATCCCACGAGTACCAATTTAGCCCCGTTATTAGCAGACCTATTTTTGTATTCATACGAAGCAGAATTAGTGCAAAATCTTGCCGTGGCCTTCAACTTGACATTTAAATATATCGACGATGTATTGTCAATTAACAATGGTAATTTCCATTCTAAACTTGATACGATATATCCTGGTGAGCTTGAGATAAAAGATACCACAGAGTCTGAAACATCTGTTTCATATTTTACTTGAAAAAGACGTTAATGGTAATCTAACAACCAAGCTCTATGATAAACATGATGACATTAACTTTTCTATAGTCAACTTCCCTTACTTATTCAGCAATATACTGTACCTTCACCTGCATACGGAGTTTATATATCTCAGTCGATTCGATAGGCAAGAGCATTCTCTACATATGAACAATTCCTAAAACGAGGTAGATTATTGACAAACAAGTTGATGAAGCAAGAATTTCAGCAGTCTCGTTTAAAGTCGTCATTTCGTAAGTTCCATGGTTGATACAATGACCTTGTCAGCAAATACAATTTATCATTGAGTCAAATGCTGACTAATGTTTTTCATACATTTTAGTCCATTATTTATACGCTGAATTGTCGACGGATTTTCGTTATTTTCCGATCATGACAAAGAGCACACGGGTGTGACCGGTCGGCAGGGATGCTCACTCCTCCACCTTTGACCTGGCACCTGATCCCTCCTCCGATGATTTGGAGGTCCATGTTTAATCTGCTCCTTTTTTGTATTTTTTTTATGGACTTTTGAGCTTGAATACTGTACGTTATCTCCATATGTTTCATTGTAAATAATGAGTTTAATCCCCCCCCCCAATTTTTATCTCACCTGAGCATCCTTGGGTGAAGGGGAATTCAAATTGTTAAAATACAGGGCCAAGTCCCCTCACAAGGGGAGATAATCAAGAAAAGACAAAAAATAGGGTGGGGTAATTAAAAAATCTTCTTCTCAAGAACCACTGGGCCAGAAAAGCTGAAACTTATATGGAAGCATTCTAGTATAGTGTAGATTCTAAATTGTTCAAATCATGATCCCCGGGGGAAGGGCGGGGCCACAATGGGAAATCAAAGTTTTACATAGGAATATGTAGGAAAAATCTTTGAAAATCTTCTTCTCAAGAACCACTGGGCCAGAAAAGCTGAAACTTATATGGAAGCATCCTGGTATAGTGTAGATTCTAAATTGTTCAAATCATGACCCCCGGGGGAAGGGCGGGGCCACAATGGGGAATCAAAGTTTTACATAGGAATATGTAGGAAAAATCTTTGAAAATCTTCTTCTCAAGAACCACTGGGCCAGAAAAGCTGAAACTTATGTGGAAGCATCCTGGGGTAGTGTAAATTCTAAATTGTTCAAATCATGACCCCCGGGGGAAGGACGGGGCCACAATGGGGAATCAAAGTTTTACATAGAAATATATAGGAAAAATCTTTGAAAATCTTCTTCTCAAGAACCACTGGGCCAGAAAAGCTGAAACTTATGTGGAAGCATCCTGGTATATTGTAGATTCTAAATTGTTCAAATCATGACCCCCGGGGGAAGGGTGGGGCCACAATGGGGAATCAAAGTTTTACATAGGAATATGTAGGAAAAATCTTTGAAAATCTTCTTCTCAAGAACCACTGGGCCAGAAAAGCTGAAACTTATGTGGAAGCATCCTGTGGTAGTGTAAATTCTAAATTGTTCAAATCATGACCCCCGGGGGAAGGGCGGGGCCACAATGGGGAATCAAAGTTTTACATAGAAATATATAGGAAAAATCTTTGAAAATCTTCTTCTCAAGAACCACTGGGCCAGAAAAGCTGAAACTTATATGGAAGCATCCTGGTATATTGTAGATTCTAAATTGTTCAAATCATGACCCTGGGGGGAAGGGCGGGGCCACAATGGGGAATCAAAGTTTTCATAGGAATATGTAGGA